ATACAGAGGTACATTTTGTCTCCGACCCTGTGACGAGGACCAGTCTGTACTCTCAGGAGTTAGCCGGGGCCTTTCTCACAGTCTCTGATCTCTTTGGCTTCATGCAAACAGGAAATGAACAATTTTCCCAGCATAGAAATCCCAGCATAGAATCGTAGGCCAGCATAACACAGCAAAACCAAGCTTTGAGGGGAATTTTCATCTGGAAGAGCGGGTCTTCATGAAGTATAAAAGGGAGGTTATTCATACATGCCTGCTATCTTCATTCACATGTAAGAGCAGCAATGACTTCCTGGCCAGGAATACATTCACAACATCTGGAAAGATGTTTAAAGTACATGTGAACCCTAACAGACATTTCGTTTGCTAATACTCTGTGATGGGAATTCATCAAAACTGGAGCAGACAGAATCTGGAGCAGCTGTACACAGCAACCAATCAGCTTCTCTGTTGCATTTCCAAATCGTAACTGAACAAACTGAAGAGAGAAGCTGATCGGTTGTCCTGGGCAACTGCTACAGATGTTGTCTGTCCCAGTTTTGATAAATTCCCTTTTGTGTATCATAAACAAGTACAATTGTTTTTATTTATTTATTTCACCTTTTGTTGCATTTTAGTGCTGCTGATCTCTTGCAGCCACTTCCTGTCTACAGGCTTGGTTGCATAGTGTTTCTCATGGCAGGTTATCAGCTATGATCGCATAGTGTTTCTCATGGCAGGTTAATCAGCTATGGTTGCATAGCGTTTCTCATGGCAGGTTTCCTGATGGCGACAATAGACCATGCCTGCATTATGCGGATTGAAACAGCTAATTTTACTCTCCACTGGGAGAGAGCGTGTGACGGGGTGACAATGTAGGATAACAATTGGAAGACAGGGACAGTGTGTTGTTACCGCATAAGAGGTTCAGCTAGAAGAGCTGTGCCTGGTATTGTTCATCCAACGATGTACACAAAACATACTAAAGATGGCCAAACATGACTGGATTATGGATATGCAACAAAAAACTAACTGTGATCGTATTCAGGCGCACACAGTGCCTACTATGTTATCTGACATTCTACACTTTCACAGTTGCCCCCTTAAAGAAGAACTCCAGGAAGACGTTTTCATAACCCTTGCAGCGAGGCTACCCCTGCACTGCAATTGCTCATTTTGTCTAGGTGCTAAAATAACAAAGTTATACTCACTCCAAGCTTTGAGCCAGCCGGCTGTCGCAGCGTCCCTCCTGCCTCTCTCCTCCTCTGCTGCAGCATTGTAAACTTCCTCAGAGTCCTCACAGCTATACACTGTGTATAGAACGTGATGATTTACAGGACATTAGACCACTGCAGAGGAGAGGGAGAGAGGCTCCAGGGACCGGTCCAGCAACAAGCCGGTTCAGAGCATCGGGTGAGTATAACCTTTTTTTTTTAGCACATAGACAAAAACAAGCACTCAACCCTTGCAGTGTGGGGGTAGCCCCACTGCAATGGTTAATACAAATTTTTCCTGGAGTTGTTGAAAAAAAAAAAGACTCAATTTTTGACTATTCCTTCAATTAAAAAAAAATACAAAAATGGCTCCATCGATGTAATCCAGCGTCAATCATGATGCACGACACAAAAACGCGCCGCAAAATGACATTCATTCTCAGCCTTCAAATACTACATAGCATTCAGGAACTCCCGAATACTATTCATGAGTTTCCGAATGCTATTCGGGTCTGTGAGCCGAACTTCCGGGACCTCGTCCAGTCCTCCCCCAGCCAGGTAAGACATCCCCCGAAAATAAAAGACAGTGTCTTATTTTCGGGGAAACACGGTATTTGACGGCTGAGAATGTCAAATGGGTGGAACGAGCTGTGACGCCACGGCTCGCTCCGCCCATCTGTTGACATTCGGGCTGAATGTAATTTTGCGGCGAGTTTTTGTGGTGTTTGGGTGGTCGTCGTGCGGCGGGACTTTTTTTTATTTCGGCGGGTCGGCGGGGGCCGTGCATCATGATTGACGCTAGATTACATCGATGGAGCCATACCCCTTACTCATTCACAAGGGGGGAGGGCGGCATCTGGGTGCCCCCTTATTTAAAGGGGTACCCCAATGCAAATAAGCCCCCTTGCCCGCAGACCCCCACAACCATCAGGGGAGGGTTGTGAGGAAGAGGCCCTTGTCCCCATCAGCAGGGGGAAACCCGCCCAATGCCGAGGGCACGTGGCCTGGTAAGGCGCAGGGATGGGGGGGGTGCTCGATCGTCCACCCCCCCCCCCCTTTCCTGCCCTGCCGGGCCAGTGCTCGGATCAAGGGTCTGTTAGCACTGTTACAGTAATCCAGTGTGATCCTCAGTGCAGGAGCTGCCTGTAATAAAGACCAGTCATTGCTGCTCTTTCTCCTTGTGCAGGGTGACTGGTCTAGTATCTGCCCCCTCCTGTAGCTTTCTGCAAGCAGCCTGTAGTGGATGGGTCGTGCTGGGTCCCTCCCGCAGCTCTGCTCTCTGCACAGACAAGTGTACAGCACAGTGATGTCACTGCACATTTTGCAAGGGCACTGGTGAACACAAAGTGGATTTACATCCTCTGCGGCTATTGAGTAATATATTTATATGAAGGTTTTTGTTCCTGGAGTTTAGCTTTAATGCAATAACACACAACACGCTGGGTTGCTACGTAGCCCTTATCTTGCTTCTCCTTTATCCTTTTTTTGTAAATATATTATTTTTCTAAACAAGATTGACCACAGATTTGCCAGCTTCAATAAGACAAATGGCAACAATGAAAAGATTACCTAACATGCAAGAGTAAACAAAAAAACATGGTTGTACAATAGGCTTATAAAGAAGTATCACAGCGTGGGGAAGAGGAAAAATTCCCCTATAAGGATTGCTATTATACAAATAGAAAACATAAGTGCACACAGAAATGCAATAAAAACGATTGACATGACCGAGGAAGGTTACAAGAGTGCAAAACAAAAGAAATAACTTCATGATTTAAATGATAACTTGTGAGAAAGGAAGACATTGACAAGACTGACAGGCCTAGAAAATACTGCACATGATATTGTTATAGCTGACCATGGGGCTTATTAATCAGATTGTAAAAAGGAGCAACCAACCGGATCCTCCAGCTCATTTTCCTTCAATGCACTAGAAGATTGAAAGCAAGAGTCTTAAGCTGGCCATTCACTGCTCTATTTTTTTTTAGTTCAAACCCCCAGGCTGAATGAAAAAAATAGAGCAGATGCCTCTATCAAAGCATCCTCTGTGCGAATTTCGGCCGGTTCATCAAAAAGCAGCCGAAATTCGCACAGTGTATGGCCACCTTTACTTGACACTATGGGTAAAAAATCTTTTAACTCAGGTCTCACACCTCTAATGGACCAGAAGAATATTTATATTTCTGCTATGAGACGATAGATTCATATAGTAATATGAATCTATTGTCTCATATTACATATTTCATTTCTTAGGACAAACAATGCTTTCCTTCTGTGACATATTTACAAACAAAATAGCTTTTTTTTTAATTCTATGCTTTTTTTTTATATGTGATACTAAAAAAAATAATGATCAAAATGAATAAAAATAAAAAAAAGTTTACATATTAATGGTTAGAAAAATGGAAACGCATAAAAACTGCCCTTGCAAGAGACCTCCCCACCATGCCACAAGGGATATATGTTTGTTAATTCTACGGGAAGAAGAAAAAGGTGTAATACTTACCTTATTCCCCACCATGGTGGGCTCAGTTGCTCTCCTCTTCTCTCTGACGCTCTGGGTTTTGACCAGGCCCTCCCTATCCTCATGTAGAATAAAGTGCTATTGGTGAATGCCAGCTGGATCATCTTAAGCTGGCCATGCACTAGTAGATTTCCAAATGAAAGATCTTTCTTTACCACCCGATAATGCCATCAGATACTTGACCAAAATCAAACTAAAATGTTGATTTAACATTCGATTTTGGAATGAATGGAGTTTCCGGAACAAAAACCACATTCACTGGTTATTTTTAGGTATGCTATGTGAATAGAATAGGAATACATAAAAGCCCTGGCTAAAGTGGAAATATGCTTTATGGCTGGGTTCACATTGATGCACTGCGGCATTGTGAATGTTATTGCAACGCAATAAAACGTGCAGTACACGTGTTGCTGCCCTGCAGTGCCATTCATTCTTAAAGGCCACCCAACGCAGCTGCTGTGCTGTGCACCACAATGTAAAATAATGCACTGCCATGTGTTGTGATGCCCTTTGTTACAAAAATAGAGCATACACATTCTTTTGCCTTTATGTAAGACGTGTTAATGTGGACGGCACA